GATTGCAGGAAATTAGCTTTTAAACAGCAACATTTTCTCTCAGCCTCATGGCAAAATGTGTAGAACTGGGATTCTCTGCCTCTGACCCTATTACGGGGTCTTACTAGTGCTCTCCCAATTACAGGGGCTTACTAGTGCTCTCCCATGCCACCCCTAGGAGGGGTGCATCACGTTGTGCCAGACTTTTTTTGCTATACTCGACTTGAGTGGGTTGAGTCACTGACGTGATCTTCCTGTCCGGTTTTGCGCCCCCTCGGTCTAGTGCGGTGGACGAGATCTTCGTGGGCTATAGTCAGCCTTGTCTCAGGGTAGTAAGTTGGTGGTCTGTTGATATCCCTCTAGTGGTGTGGGGGCTGTGTTTTGGCAAAGTGGGTGGGGTTATATCCTGCCTGGTTGGCCCTGTCCGATGGCCACAGTGTCCCCCGACCCCCCCCCGTCTCAGCCTCCAGCATCTATGCTGCAATAGTCTATGTGCCGGGGGGCTAGGATCAGTCTGTCCTATCTGGTGTAATTCTCCTGTCTTATCTGGTGTCCTGTGTGAACTTAAGTATGCTCCCTCTAATTCTCCCATCTCTGTCTCTCTCTCCCCTCCCGGAGGACCTGAGCCCTAGGACCATGCCTCAGGACTACCTGGCCTGATGACTCCTGGTTGTCCCCATCCCCAGTCCACCTGGTCATGCTGCTGATCCAGTTTCTGCTGTTTTGCCTGTGGCTATGGAACCCTGACCTGTTCACCGGACGTGCTACCTTGTCCCGGACCTGCTGTTTTCATCTCATCTCAGCATAACGTTTCCTACAGGCTATTTAAAGTAATGTTCTCAAATTGTTCCGAGAACGTTAAGAAAACTTTCCATAAAAACCACAAGACCACTTTAGTAACATTCAGAGAACCTTCTAAGAATGTTATTTAAAAACATATACATTACGTCCTCTAAATCAACAAAACTCTCTCTATCCTCTATCTTGTTAAGTGTGTTCAGGTGTGTTGGCCGCGCCCACTAATTGGTCACATCTGATCTTAATGACTGCTTGTTTCCTTTGAAATGGTGTCTGTTTGAATAGACTACAATTAACAGCTTTGTATGAGTTAAAAAAACAAGGCATGCTATCTCCATCCTGGTGGTGCAGTGGACTAATTCCATGGATAGAGAACAGAAGATCATAGGCTCAAATCTCACTGATGCTGTGCCACAAAATAAATGTGTTTGCATGATTAATGCCTAAGCAAATTAATTTCCATCAGTGGAGGTTGGTAGGAGGATGGGCTAGCCGCAATGGAACAGAGTCAAACGTGGTTTCCATCTGTTTGATACTATTCCATTCCAGCCATTACAATGAGCCGATCCTCCTATAGCTCCTCCCACCAGCCTCCACAGTTAGCCTAAGCTAGCAGTGTTATTAAAATACTTATTGAAACATGTTCACAGAACGTCATTTGATTACCTTCAAATAACCAACAATTTTTGTTTTCATAACGTTAATAAAACCTCCCAGGAAAACTTTCAGGGAACCATAGTAAAATATTCTCAGAACCTCCCTGCAACCTAAAAATGTAGGCTACATTCCCAGAACAGGCGAAGTGTTCACGTTCGTTCTGTTTTACCGGTCAGCAAACTTATGGCTTCGTTCCATGTACATTCCCATCACTTCTAAGGAACTAAATGTGCTAGCTCGGTGAACTAGGCTCTAACCCTAACCCAGCAAGTTGGAATGTGTATAATAACAGCTTTACTATACATTCAAAAATATCAATATCATTTGAATACTAACAAAATTGGAAAATAAAACTATATTTATTATAATACACATTCCAACTTGCTGTGTTTTATCCCTCTATACATGCAACCATAAAGTGCAGTGATGCAAAACATCCTGTCAAAATGCATAGCGCATAGAATGAAAAAGGTTTATCTGATATTATTCACCCTTATCAGGCAGGTTATTTACATGGACGATACATTATAAGACAATTACTTGAAACAATAGAACACTAGAAAAAAACAGGCCTGGTCTTCATAGCAGATTTTGAAGGCCTTTGATAAAGTACGACTAGAATTTATATATAAATGTCTGGACTATTTTCTTTTTGGAGAATCTCTTATACAATGGGTAAAAGTTATGTAGAGTAACACCAAGTGTAAAATAGTAAATAATGGTTACTTCTCAGAAAGAATTGAACTGTCAAGAGGAGTTAAACAAGGCTGTCCATTGTCTCCATATCTATTTGTTATGGCCATCGACATTTTTTATATTAAAATCAGATCCAACAAAACCCAGGGCTTAAAAACAAACTGTCAATGTATGCCGATGATTCAAGTTTTCTCTTAAGTCCGCAATCTGGATCACTGCACAGTCTCCTTGAGGATCTAGATAATTTTTCTCTGGACTAAAACCTAATTATGATAAGTGTACCATATTACGCATTGGATCATTAAAAGACACAACTTTTACATTACCCTGTAGTTTACCAATGAAATAATCTGATGATGAAGTAGACATGCTGTACTTGGTATTCATATCCCCCTCCCCCCCTTGCAACCATGGAGAGGTAAATACCTGTCTATTTATGGGAAATTCACACTGACTAACTCTTTAGTCTCCCGAGTGGCGCAGTGGTCTAAGGCGCTGCATCGCAGTGCTAGCTGTGCCACTAGAGATCCTGGTTCGAATCCAGGCTCTGTCGTAGCCGGCCGCGACCGGGAGACCCATGCGACGGCGCACAATTGGCCCAGCGTCGTCCAGGGTAGGGGAGGGAATGGCCGGCAGGGATGTAGCTCAGTTGGTAGAGCATGGCGTTTGCAACGCCAGGGTTGTGGGTTCGATTCCCACGGGGGGCCAGTATGAAAAAAATATATATAAAAAAATAATGAATGCACTCACTAACTGTAAGTCGCTCTGGATAAGAGCGTCTGCTAAATGACTAAAATGTAAATGTAGTCATCACAGTTTACTTATGGCGCTGCCTACTCCAGACAAATAATTGTTCTAATTATATGAGCAAATTATTATTTTCTTAATTTGCAATGGTAAGCCAGACAAAATTAATACCAGTTGTATCCCCCAGAAAAAGATAGAACAACTATTACAAAAAAATATTATGCATAAACTCAAATATTCTGATTGATAAAAAAAAAACATTATTTATGGAAAAAATCTGTAAAAGATTAATTATTTGTTAATGATATTATGAGTAGGAATGGTGGTTATGTCACACGTGCAGATAACAAAAATATATGGAAATGTATGCCCTATACAAAATTGCAATCAACTGATTGCAGCATTACCACAAAAATGGAGAAGGCATGTGGAATGGGGAGAAGGTAGGGAAGTTGTTTGTCTACCCTTTATTAAAGACCATAATTGGCATAAATAGACAAATACCAGTTTAATTTGAGGACCAAAATGTTGGCAGCGGCACCATACAGGTTGCAAAATAGCTGGGAAGAGATTTTTGATGTTCTGATTCCATGGCACATGGTTCATGAACTGATACACAAAACAACACTTGATTCAAAACTTACTTTTTTTTAAATTTAAATTATACACAATTCTTTCCACCAACATAATGTTATGTACTGTATATAGGGCATACAGTACAATCATCTAAGCTCTGCAGATTTTTCTGTGAAGAGACAGAATCATTAGATCACTTATTCTGGTATTGCCTCTATGTAGCTAGTTTCTGGTCACAGGTTCAGGAGTGGCTGAAAAATCAATGCTTTAGCCTCTCTACCACTAGTGCATAATGTTGTTGAAGGCAGCACACACAGTCAGTCATGCAATAGTTTCCCCAATGCACATGACTGGGCAATTTTCAGGCATCATAAATAGATGTACACCCTCCTCTCAGTTTACTGCAAGAAATCCAGGTGACGTAATAACCTGTCAAAACTTGGATTGAACCCCACATAGGATATACAGTAGCAATAGATTCAGCTATTTCAGCTACTTTTGATGAAGTTCTTTGCAATGCATGTTTATTAGTTTGGAATGGACAAGATAACTAATCTCTAAGATTGCAACCGATTTGCACCAAAAAGTGAGGAGACTATTACTGTATTTGTGTGTGGTCTGTATCTGGGGGCCATGGGGTGTAAAGTAAACTCAGAGACAAACCGCTACACCATGGAATGGGAACATAGTCTAAACATGGTTCATATCAACCCTAAAATAACCACAGCCCCGCAATGGTCTGTCTGTCTTGCTGGATCATGTTCCCGGTGATACTATATTTGTGAGCATCGGTAGGAGAGTCTAGGAACATGGCATGTGATAGTCCTCAGGCAGAGGAACATTTATGCAAGACGCAGAAAACACATAGATTTATTAGAAGCTGGAAAGGATTTCCTTAGTATAGGCTACCATATTTGTGTACCTGCAATGCCGCATGAGGGTGCAAGCTTTCCTTCTGTAAACTAGACCGGTCTCAGGCCCTCTGTTTACGTGGGCCCCATGTACTGTTCCTTTGCAGCCACAAGATGGCACTATTTAAAATATTCCAGGTTCAGAGCAATTAACAATGTTCCTTCTCAGTTGATACATTTAGCTTTATAACAAAATTATCCAGTGAAACTCATAAAAAATCATGAGAAAATAGCTTTATTCAAGTATTTTAAATAACTTGAGGCAACAGCTGTGCAAAACAGAACAAAATAAAATCAGAACAGGCCAACACAGACATATGAAATGTAAATTTTACAAGTACAAAATAGAAGTATAAAGTTAATAGAACAATTAGCATAAAACTGCTTTGACATTGACTTGGTATTAAACATTCAGAGTGAAGGGACCTCAGACCTTATGGGAAAACAGCGTATTTGTTATGAGTCAGAGCTGGTCCTATATGGCAGGCTTTCCCCCCTGGGTGCACGCTTTTTTTTTTGCCCTAGCACTACACAGGTTAATCAAATAATAAATGCTTGACTATGACTTGGTTAATTGAATCAGCTGTGTAATGCTAGGGCAAAAACCAAAACATGCACCAAGGGGGAGCCCCAGGACCGAGTTTGGGAAACCCTGCTATATAGAGTCCTAGAGGGAGTCTGAGACAGGGAATCAGATATCAGCAGAGTCAATGCTGCTGTCATTAGGGGTGGCCTCAGTTGGAGTGGTGACAGTTTGGGGAGCAGACTTCTTCCTGTGAATTAAGCAATTGGAGACGATGGTGAGACAAGCCCATGCACCTGTCACTCATATGGCCTCAACAAACTGTTGCACTAAATGATAAAAAAAATGTATGCAACAATGATAGTTCTTTAAATAATTATTTAAACTTTTGTATGGTAAATGATGACACTCCCAAGTGGTGAACAGAGAAAAAAATAGGTTTACATGACTCACATCAGGCGAGTGAGAAGTTTCTGCACTTTCTTCATACTGGGGTCCAGGCAGTACTGCACTCCATTCTTAAGGCTAACACTGTCAAGATATAAAATGGTTAAATTCACATTTACCTCGCAATGGTTTTAATTTTAATTGATGTCATCATATTATCATCATCCTCATCATAACTGATAAGATATATAGATACTCACATGAACTCCAGCCTGTCACAGGAGGGAGTTGGCGGATAGATCTGGATGTCCTCAACAGAGTTTGGGGCTCCAAAGCTGTTCCGCACCCTCCGACACAAACAGCGCTGGCTCACAGAACCTATACAGAGATTCAGTGGACAATGAATTGAGTTCAATCGAGCTACTTGGAATTACTAAATAGCAATACAAAAAACAATTAGCATGGTCCAAAAATGTAAAGATTCTATTCACATGTAATAAACGTTCCATAACATAGTAATTACAGTTATGGTAAAAAGAGGTAGACTCACGCTGGGCGACTGTGATGCAGACGGTGACAGCAAGGAGCAGGAGGATTCTGGTGGTCATGGTCATGTTGTGTTCAAGCTGTAGTGTTCTCTGCTGGTACAACTGTTGGTAGAGATGAGTCTGTCTGGTGTGAAGAGATGGAGGACTTGAGATAAGATGAGAGTGTGTGAAGAGATAGATGAGATGAGATGAGATGAGAGACAGGTACTGTGAGGGGTTGAGAGAAGTGGCCTGTTATATGCACATCACGGAAGCCTTTACCTTTCCAGCGATCAGAAGAAATTTCCCTCTTTAATGGAAACTGAAACTAACTAGCAACCGCAGGAAAATGCCCCCCTCTCTTATCCACCCACTCTTCACTCTGCAACCTCACTTAATCATTACGTTTTAGTGTGGATAATAATACATCTGGCTTATCAAGATTTATAGTGGTTCAATTGGCTTTCAGTCACTGTGTTAAAATTCTAGTTAAATCAATTGTTTAGTCAGAGGATTGGTGAAATAAATAAAATTTCTAAAAATCAGAAGAATTAACAAAATCCCCTTATGTGATGTGGTTAATCTACCTAATCCCAGTTTTTGGAAAATATGTATATGCCTTTTAATAACATTATTATTGATTCTTTCTAATTCTCTGTGGAAAATTATTTTTAGCTCAGTAGGCCTATTACAATGTTATGTACATTTACTCTGTTTAGTAACTGAATAGAATAAATTAGCAACTGAAATAATGGGTAGAAATATAATTTCATTCTCTAGAACTATATATGACTGGGATATATTTTCAATCATCATTTGCAGTATATTTAATGTCATACTTCAAACAATTGTTTCGGAGATGTGGTGGTTAGAATGTATTGTGTTTGTTGTGTTTGTGCATCTTTATGTGATGGTGGAGGGTAAGTGTCAGGGGGTTTCAGACCGTTCCATTGCGGTGGCGGTCTTTGCTGAACTGCTCTCATCATACCACTAGTGAACAGAGCCAGTGTGGTTAATACATGTAGTATCTCTGCAACTGAACCTCCTCTAATCTTTCTGGTGTAAGAAGCTTTGTAATTCTCACCTTTCTGTTCCCCATCAAAAAACATGCAACCTTGTGTCACACATTTTTTCCGCCAATTATACATTTGCAGAATTATGTGGTCAGTTGACAAACTGAGTTTTGCCTCTAGCTCACATCACGTGTGTAAGCTTGATCAGTTGTAATTGCAATAAAGATACTTTGTGAAGAGGTGGGCTTTCCGTTTTTTTATTTTTTATTGCATATTCTTTCATTGGGACTAATTACAGTGCCTTCAGAAAGTACTTGACTTTTTCCAAATTTTGTTGTGTTACAGCTTGACTTTAAAATTGATTAAATTCAGATTTTGTGCCACTGATCTACACACAATACCCCACAATGTCAGAGTGGAATGTTTATTATAAAAATGGTATTAATAAAACATTAAAAGCTGAAATGTCTTGAGTAAAGAACTATTCAACCCCTTTGTTATGGCAAGCCTAAATACGTTCAGGAGTAAACATTTGCTAACAAGTCACAAAATAAGTTGATGGACTCACTATGTAAGCAATAATAGTGGTTAACATGATTTTTGAATGATTACCCCATCTTTATACCTCATACATACAATTATCTGTAAGGTCCCTCAGTCGAGCAGTGAATTTCAAGCACAGATTCAACCACAAAGACAAGTGAGGTTTTACAATGCCTCGCAAAGAAGTGCACTGATTGGTAGATCAGTAAAAAAAAAAAGCAGACACTGAATATCCCTTTGAGTATAGTGAATTTATTAATTACGCTTTGGATGGTGTATCACTGCACCCAGTCACTACAAAGATACAGGCGTCCTTCCTGACTCAGTTGCCGGAGAGGAAAGAAACCGCTCAAGGATTTCACCATGAGGCCAATGGTGATTTTAATACAGTTACAGAGTTTAATGGCTGTGATAGGAGAAAACTGAGGATGGATCAACAACATTGTAGTTATTCCACAATACTAACCTAAATGACAGAGTGAAATGAAGGAATTTTGAACAGGAAAAAAATATTCCAAAACATGCATCCTGTTTGCAATAAGGCACTAAAGTAATACTACAAATAATTTGGCAAAGAAATTAACTTTTTGTCCTGAATACATATTTTTAAGCATGGTGGTGGCTGCAAAATCTTTGGATATGCTCATTATTGACAAGGCCTGGGGAGTTTTTGGGGGGGATAAAAAGAAACGGGATAGAGATAAGCAAAGGGAAAATCCTAGAGGAAAACCCAGTTCTGTCTGCTTTCCAACAGACACTGGGAGACAAATTCACCTTTCAGCAGGACAATAACCTAAAACTCAAGGCCAAATATACACTGGAGTTTCTCAACAAGACGACATTGAACGTTCCTGAGTGACCTAGTTACATTTTTGACTTAAATCGGCTTGAAAATCTATGGCAAGGCATGAGAATGGCTGTCAAGCAATGATTAACAACCAATTTGACAGAGCTTGAAGAGTTTAAATAAAGAATAATGGTCAAATATTGTACAATCCAGGTGTGCAAGGCTCTTAGAGACGTACCCAAAAAGATTCATAGCTGTAATCACTGCCAAAGGTGATTCTAACATGTATTGACTAAGGGGGTTGAATACTTATCTAATCAAGATATGTTCGAATTTTTCTTCCACTTTGACATTACGGAGTATTTTGTGTAGGTCGTTGAAATCCATTTTAATCCCAATTTGTAACACAACACACTGTGGAAAAGTAAAGGTGTGTGAATACATTCTGAAGGCACTGTATACACACCGATGTTAATGCTTTGGAGCTACTTAGGGGAGATTCCACCTCCCTTCTCTCTTTAATTTTTCCATCTTTCTGCTTTTGATTTCGCTCTCCCTTTCTTTAAAAAAAAGTAAGTTTTGCTACTGTCACAAATGTAGAGATCAGTTCCACTGTAAAGAAAGATGGGGCAATGCTAGTTTCAGGTCCTGTTTGGGTCCGTAGCAGCAGAGTGAGCCCAGATCCAGACTAAAATGGAATGTCCCTGTCTTGTTAAGAAACTCCAGTGTATATTTGGCCTTGAGTTTTAGGTTATTGTCCTGCTGAAAGGTACATTTGTCTCCCAGTGTCTGGATGTCATCGTGGGTGAAAAGGAGTTTGGAGCACACTATTGGAAGAAAAGTGTATAGTTTACAGGAAGTGACATGCCAGTTTAGAGAAAGTCAAATGAGATGGGCTTGAATATGATAAAATAGCATTAGATCAGCTTGTCTATCTCTGGGAGAAGGGATAAGGCTTGGTTAGTAGTGTCATGGTCAAATGCATTTCAGTTCAGTCAATTTAGAACATGCCTGATGTCTCTGGAGGTTATGTATGAGGTCAACCAACACCAAGCTTATGGGAGAAGTTGGGAAGAGAGTTATGGCCAGCTGGTAATGTGCAATGTTAAAGTAAATGTTTAGGTAATTTAGCAGGCGAGTTTCAGTGTATGCGTATGCAAGATCAAACCCATAACTTGGTGATGTAAGCAACAGGGTTGGGCTTAATTCAGAATTCTGGAATTGACTCCAATTCATCTCATGAGATGAAATTCTAATTGAATTGGCCACACCCCACACGGTGTAGAATTTGAATTTGAGTGACAGGAAGTATAATTTAATTCAGTGCAATTCAAAGATATTCCGCTCAGTTTCATTGAATCTGACAGGTCATACTTCCAGATACCAAAGAATATATCTCTTTTAACATTAGTGCCTAGAATAGCCAATTATATTTTCTCGACAAACAATGCAGTTTATTAGTATCACAGCTCAGGCTAAGACCCAGATGCAGACACAGGAGGTGGAGAGTATGAGTCTCAGAGTTTGTTATAGTACAAGGGGCAGGCAAAAGGTCGGTCAAGACAGGCAAAGAGTCATAATCCAAATCAGAGTCAGGGAGGTACAGCACGGCAGGCAGGATCAGGGTCTAGGAAAAACTAAAACTAGAGCACAGGAAACACGGGAACACGCGGGTAGGACTTGACGGAACAAGATGAACTGGCAACAGACAAACAGAAAATGTAGGTATAAATAAACAGGAGATAATGGGAACAAATGGGAGACACCTGATGAGGGGTGGAGACAAGCACAAGACAGGTGAAACAGATCAGGGTGTGACAGTACAGGGTGAGAGAGGAGCGGCCCGGGCTCTCTTCCAGGTACGGCGACAGCGACGGACGAACATCTGGGCAGAAGGTATGCTGACCTCTTCCTCTTGCTCCGGGAAGAGCGTGGACTGATATCCCAGGGAACACTCAAAAGGCGAGAGACCCGTAGCAGAACAGGGAAGAGTGTTGCGGGCATATTCCACCCACACGAGTTGCTGGCTCCAGGTGGTGGGATTGGTGGAGACGAGGCAACGAAGAGTTGTCTCCAGGTCCTGATTGGCTCGCTCCGATGGGCCGTTAGACTGGGGATGAAAACCAGAGGACAGGCTGGCCGACAACCCAATGAGGGTGCAGAACGCCTTCCAGAACCGGGATGAGAACTGAGGACCGCTATCGGAGACCATGTCGACCTGAAGTCCATGGATCCGGAAGACGTGCTGCACCATGAGCTGGGCCGTCTCCTTAGCTGAGGGCAGCTTAGGAAGAGGAATAAAATGGGCGGCTTTGGAAAACCTATCCACCACCGTAAAGATGGTGGTGTTGCCATCTGACAGAGGGAGACCCGTGATGAAGTCCAAGGATATATGGGACCAGGGGCGGTGAGGAACATTGAGTGGTTGAAGGAGGCCAGCCGGAGCTTGCCACGGAGTCGTGTTCTACGCACACACAGTGCAGGCGGCAACAAACGCGGAGATGTCAGGAACCATGGTGGGTTTTTTTTCATACTGGCCCCCCGTGGGAATCAAACCCACAACCCTGGCGTTGCAAACGCCATGCTCTACCAACTGAGCTACACGGGGCTATAATCTAAAATGGATTAAATTGTCCCCCCCACCCCCCACCCCCCCTCATCTATCTACACACAATACCTCATAATGACAAAGTAAAAACAACATTTTGCAAATGTTTTAAAAATTAAAAACATTTAAAATATCACATTTACATAACTATTCAGACCCTTTACTCAGTACTTTGTTGAAGCACCTTTGGCAGCGATTACAGCCTCGAGTCTTCTTGGGGATGACGCTACAAGCTTGGCACACCTGTATTTGGGGAGTTTCTCCCATTCTTCTCTGCAGATCCTCTTAAGCTCTGTC